CACTGCGCCATCCACTTTGCTCCCGGCGTTTGGTGCCCCTGGCTTCCTGCAGGGAAGACGCCCCATGGAAGGGCCAGGAGGTTCTTGGGGGGCTTGTCCCTGGGACATGGCTCCGAGTTGCCTGACCAGAAAGAGCAGCGCAGTCTCAGGGTCTTGGTTGGAGCTGGCTTGCTGCCAGAATGCTAATGCTGGGTGCCTGTGCCTTTTAAAGATGGCTACAGGCAGGAACAATAGAGTTGAAAGCTGTGGCAGGAGTGTCCACCAGGGCTTCTTCTTGGAGGCCTTTATTGTCGACATAAATTCTTCCCCACGTCCACACTTACATTTTGTTGACAGAACTCTGTTGACAAAGGCGTTATTCCTTGTAGAATGAGGTTTACCACCGTCAACAAAACTGCCACGTTCTGTCAATTTACAGTTGACAGAATGCAGCAGTAGTGTAGACACAGGTATAGTTTTGTTGACAAAAGTCCACTTTTGTCAACAAAACCCCACAGTCTAGACCAGTCGCGGATATAGGGCAGGGCGAGCGGGGCGGCTGCCCCGGGCCCCGTGCTTCAAGAAGCCCCGCGCATGCGCCGTGTCAAAGGGGGGGCCCCGCGAAATAGTGCTGCCCTGAGCCCCACAAAATCCTCATCTGTCCCTGGTCTAGACACACCCCTTGTGTCTACACATGAGTTTCATATCTAAAGTGACTAACCTCTCACCAGAGAAGAAAGGGATTCATGCCTATAACAGGTAACATTGATGGAGCAGTTACCATGTGAACTCCCTATGCAGCATTGGTAGGACTTAGGCTGTATCTACATTGGCACGATCTTGCGCCAAAGCAGCCGCTTTTGCGCAAAAACATGCTGCCTGTCTACACTAGCGGGGAGTTCTTGTGCAAGAACACTGACATTCTAATGTGTGAAATCAGTGCTTCTTGTGCAAGAACTATTATGCTCCCGCTCAGGAATAAGCCCTCTTGTGCAACTGTTCTTGCGCAAGAGGCCAGTGTAGACAGGCAACATGAATTTCTTGCGCAAGAAAGCCCGATGGCTAAAATGGCCATCGGAGCTTTCTTGCGCAAGAGAGCGTCTACACTGGTGTTAAAGAGTATTTGCGCAAGATCATGCCAATGTAGACGTAGCCTTAGTGTAAACCTCCCATGAAACACTGGATGGAGGATTTCACATGAAGGCCCTTGTTTTGGTTTTCTAACTTAGGGTTCAGCAAGGTCCAAGGGGAGGTACTCAGCACTTTGCAGGATTAATCAATTCTGTACTGGCAAGTGGGAGGAATAAATTGATTTTTGTTGGTTGGTTGACTGGTTTTCCCCCACTTCCCCCTCTAATTAATACACAGATGGCCATGGAGCAATTGTCAGTTTGCAAATGAAAATGTAGTGCCATAGAACGCTGAGGCAGTACTAAAAATGTACTTTGTGGATTGAAAAGCTGCCAGGGGACTAAAAGGCAGAAAGCACTTACTATAATACAGTCTCCCTGCATGCACAGTGAGACCAAGGGCTAAAAATAACCAGGAATGCTAATGAAAGTAGCTACAAAGGCGTTGTGCGGACAGACCACTTTCAGAACTATCTATTTTAAAAAAACCTGCCATGGTTTAAAAGATTGGTTCATTTTGGGGGGGGAGGGTTTCTGCTGTTTAAAGTGTTCAGCCACTTGATGGGTATTTTTAAGCAAAAATGTTAAGCAAATGACGAAAATATTTACAAACAGTAGGGTTTTTTATTGTGTGATTAGTAGTATCTGGGCTGTCTGCTAATGATACTTAGATAGCACATTATAAATATTAAGGGTGAGCTTTCAACACTGCAAAAGACTAGTGCTCTGGACAGCCATTTCCCATTCAAAATGAATGGGAATGAGATGTCCAAATACCCAAGGCAATTTTCCCACCCAACTAACCCTCAAACTGTGAAGTAGTATTACCTTATTATGTTTTACAGATTTGGGTACTGAGGCTATGTGTATCTAGAAGCCAATCTATCAGTTGACCTAGCACTGTCTCCACCGGGAGTGAGGTTACATAGCTATACGTCTGCCAGGCATGAGGGTTTTTTCACACCCTAGAATGACGTCGTTAGGCCAATAGAAGTTTTCAGCACAGACAAGCCCGGAGATAGAAAGGGACAACATTTGCAAGATTGGGTTGCTAAAACAAGGGACTTGTGCAAATGAAATCAGGCTCTGGTGCACTTTGTTATAAAATATGTTAAAAAATAAAATAAATTTGGTCTTCTTTGCTGATGTCTTGTAGGGCATATATCAACCAGGAAAGACGTTTTGCATTGGATCTCCTTTCCATAGAATTAAATTGCAAAACTCCCATTGGTACAGAATGGGACCTTTCTCATGACAATGATGAAATTGGTGAAGTCTACTGGAATAGGACTGGCCCAACCATAGCTAGAAATGATAGATTTCAGTGTCTGCAATCAAGATTTTTCCTTCAGCTATAAACAAAAAAAGCTACATTTTGGCATATAGGAGCTTTTCTCCTTTAAAACACAGCCAACTACCTGCCTAGTAGAGGCCTATAGCTATGGACCTTAAAGTGTATCACAAATCAGTACCCATAGTTCTCACACACATACTTATACCCTGTAAATACTGCTAAAGGTTGAAAGGAAGCAGATATTATCTCCTAATGCTCCCATAGACAGTACCAGGCAGGTGGTAATGCATAGTGCCAGGCCTAACCTGTAGAAAGAAAAGCAGTACTACAGCAGCAGGCATCAGATTTGTGTTCACTTTGAGATCTACTTTTTTATTTTGGTTGTTGTTACCCTAAGAGCTGGAGACCAACTATTCCACATTATGAACGATTTATTTGACTCCTTTCCTGAGTTTCAGGTCATAATGGAGCTTTGTTATCTTTAATAGATTCGTGTAGTCCTTCCCCAGTGCCTTGTCAAATAACAACACATGCAAAGCAATAAAAGGAGAAAGAGAGGGGGGAAAAAACCAAACTCAAATATCTAATATGTCCAGATTGGAGTGGAGATGCAGAGGAGGGAAAGTGTTTATTGCCCTGTCCTGAGCAGAATGAAATAATTTATGTACCATCTACATGCAAATGCATTTTTCATTTAGGTAATAAACTGCATCCTTGTATAATTTAGCCAAACAATGGAGCTGGAAGGACAACACTGCTAATCTTCAAAAATCAACCGTGCCTTTTCAAAAGGGATTTTGTCTTTCTGCGAATTGATCAAACTTGACAAGTAATTTCAACCTAATGTTCACGGCCACCCTCCTCCCTCCTCACCATCTGTAGGTGAGAAATCCTATTTTCTGGTAGTGACAAGGTAATGGAGGAGGCTGCAGACATCTGTAAAAGAGGGAAGAAGTAGTTTTCTCAGCTCTACAGAAAAAAACAAAATGTATTCAGAAGGAAATGAGTGGATTTATTTTAAAAGGAATGATAAATCCCCTTCTCCTTTGTCTGTCCATTAGGTCTCTGACTTTTGTAGCTGTCAGGATAACAAAAAGTAGTACAAAATTAAAATGTCTCTGGATTTAAAATACAATGGTGGAAATGCTCCAGTGGCATTTCCTTGTTCTCATTAACAAATACAGTAAAAGCCTTCAGAATACATCCATTCTACCAACTGACTGCATCAATGAAAACTGAATTACAGGCAAAGAGACTGAATTTAAACTCAATTTGCTTCAAGATTTATTATAAAAACAGCTTTGACTGAATATGATTCTGTCCTATACCAAACAATGGCTAAGAAATTGGAAAAAAAGGTGAGTTATCGCCTTTCATCCAGGGTCACAAATGTGAGTGAGTTTAAGCAAAAGCAATTGCACAGTTGCAAGGCTCTCTAGTGAATTCTGTTTTCTTTGAGAAAGTATGTTGCTAACCTTTTAGGGCCCAATGACACCCATTGCTCTGAGGCTGCTGCAGACTGCTCTAGTGAGGCAAAGCAGCCAATGAATCGGGTTCCTAAAATCCACTAGCCGGGGTTATGCCATACCTCAATGAGTACAGTCAATATAAACAGCCAAATCCAGAGGCCTTTACTCCCTTTCTATGTGAACACACTACTTGTAGATGTTGTGGCCTCCTCCTTGCCCACCCCTACCTCTACTCCCCAGAGATAAGACATAGGAATTTTTTCAATGGGAGGTAGGGGTTGCACACAGATCAGCAGGGACACCAGAGGTGAAATAATTGTTTCCTATGTCCATTCTGTGCTTGGAGTGTGAAGGGACTGGAATCTGGCCACTGGTCAGGCTCTATCGGACTGGGAGCTTGCTTTTCTGTGTACTTTTGGCCCTTTTTGATTTTGCAGTCCCATTATTTTTATTATTTACAATTATTTATGCAAAAGATGCTAATGGCTGGTACATCAAGTGGTCTGATGTACTGAATCCTAGAATGCTCCAGGAAAGCTGCAGATATCTGTGCCACTAGCAATTATCTTTAACAGTCATCGAAAGATGGGAGAAATCCCAGAGGACGGGAAAATGGCAAATAAAGTGCCCATCTATAAACTTGGGAATAAGGACAACCTGGGGAATTACAGACCAGTCATCTTAACTTCAGTCTCTGAAAAGATAATGGAGCAAATAATTAAGCAATCAATTTGCAAAAACCTAGAAGATAATAAGATGATAAGTAACAGTCAGCATGGATTTGTAAAGAACACATTATGTCAAACCAACTTAATAAGAATCTGCCTAGTTCCAAAATCTGTTACTACTCGACAAAGGGGCAACAATGCATATTGTACAGTAGCTCCAAAGGGTTATATTTAGGCCCAGGGCTCCACTGTGTTAGGTGCAGTACAAACACATAAGAAAACACAATCCCTGTAGGTTACAGCTTTCGATGCATTTCTACCTAACCTCAGGTGTGCAGCAGAGATGCAGTTTTGCTCCAGCACTATTCTGTCAAGCCATCCACTGTCTGTGAGGACTTGTCACTCCTTACATTGGAATCAAAGTTATTCAAGAAGTGTTTACCAAACAAGACTACACAGATGACAATATCCTGTTTGTGGAGACGTCAGAACAATTCAGCCCCACTCTCCAAGTCGCTGGGGTTGAACATCTGGTATTAGAAGTCCAAGGACCAGAACCTTAGAGCTGGACGACCAGAATTTTCACTGCAGGTGGGTTCAAGTACCATGGAAACCAGTGACCTACCTAGGCTGCAAGCTTAACTCAAGCAGTGACAGCAAACGGGACATTCTTTGATGAATAGGTTTGAGCCTCTAAAGTGGGGAGCATGCTCAGTTCTCGCTGAGATGACTGGGAGTACTCTGTTATAAAATAAAATAAAAAAGTACAACGGAAATTTCTAGAAATACATTTCTACCTTATGATCTACCTCTTTTTCTTCTTTAATCACATTGGGACAGGATTAGAACAGCACATATTTTGTGATGTTCCAGATTTATGGAGGGTTTATAGCCAGAAATTGGCTTCCGCTATTATATGAGGATGGCGGGTTTCAGTGCAATCTTGTTCAGGCTTGTAGCTGAGGTTTGGACAGATATGAGTAATTAACACATGGAGGGAAGCTTTATTTGTGCAAGACAGAATTGGGGATATGAATGAATCATCAGATTGAAAACAGAATGTTTGTGCTAAATAAGATAAGTAAATAAGTCAATAGGCTAAGAAGGCAGAATGTCTAAGCCAACTAAGACAAGAGGAAGAACATGCCGGGAACTATTTACTATGACCTAGATAACAAGGAATAAACTACATTAGAAATGTAGAGATGATGTAAAGGGGAAGTCGAACCATGGTCAGTGTGTGGACAGCATGAGCTGCACAGGGATTGGTTCCTGCAAATAACTAAGCCAATCCAAAAATGCATGATGTAATGTATAGTAAAAGCAATGAGATACTTAACGTGCATAAAAGGAGAGTCTCTGAGTAACTTTGGAGCTGTGATGTACCCTGCATCCATCCCCACTGCATTTAAATCAGATCAACACACGTTCCATGGCTGTATGCCTAATAAAGATACGTTAATGAGGAAGGCTGGAGTTAGATTGAGTTCCTAGGATGGTGAACATCTGATATCTGGGAAAGAAGTCTGGGAGAGAATTCCAAGCAGGCTTTCATCCTGGTGGATGAAAATTTCTTTGATACTGTAAGTGCAGGGGTGGGGAACCTCTTTGGGGCCAGGGGCTACTGACCCACAAAAAAATCAGTTGGGGGCTGCACACAAGTGAGAAGAAAAAAAAAAACAAACCCAAAAAACTACCCCTCACTGATGTGGCCACAGTCTATGACAAGACTGTTTGCTGGTCACTCAGAAAAGGAATTGAACCAGGAATGTAATCTTAATTATTTAGATCAGATTAGACTAGAACAGCAGTCCCAATGCTCCATAGAAAATCTTCCTTCATTAAATCTCAAAATCCTCTGGTATATTGTGAGGAAAAACTATCATAGAATCATAGAGTTTGAAGAGAATTTAGGAGGTCATGGAGTCCAACCCCCTGCCCAAAGCAGGACCAATCCCAACTAAATAATCCCAGCCAGGGCTTTGTCAAGATGGGACTTAAAAACATCTAAGGATGGAGATTCTACCACTTCCCTAGGGAACCCATTCCAGTGCTTCACCAGCCTCCCAGTGAAATAGTTGCTCCTTGTTCTGCCATCCGTCTCTACTGAGAACAGCCTCTCTCCAGCCTCTTTAGAACCCCCCTTCAGGAAGTTGTAGGCTGCTATCAAATCCCCCCTCAGTCTTCTCTTCTGTAGACTACACAAGCCTTTATTATGTTCTGAGCTAAGAGTCAGCATCTGAAATTACTGCAGATTTGCATAAAGTCATAAAGTCCTAAAAGCCTGGAAGTATCAGTGAGATGGGATTCAATCAAAATGCTCATAATTATTCTGAGGGATAGGGGCACATGGAGTGGCCGGAATAATCCAAAATAGATGATGAAATTTCCAGTGGCTCCTCTGATTAAAACTGTAAATCCGTAACTCCAGCCCTAATCCCTCTGTGCAAAATTAAGATTAGAAGGGGTTTCAGAACCAATAACGCTGTCTTCCTCTCAGGTTACATGTTAAATTTCTGTCTCCTCCCAGGAGACAGACACATGGATATTGCTTTTGCCCTCATGCTACTTAGAAAGGTATGGGAAAGTAAACATTACTGATTGTACAATAATTTGAATAATAGAACAGGCTTCCTTTGTGTTCCTGGATTATTGTATTAGTTTACTGGATGCACTTACACATCTTGAAAGGATGGATGAATGAGGCTATTTGAAGTTCTCAGGGTCACTACCTTTTTCCATTATGTTAAGACAGTGGATGAAGCTCTGCTTTCATTTACATCAATGTAAATCTCTGTGTAATTCCGCTGACCACACTAGATTAGCTCTAGATTCACGTCAGTGTTGGTACAAATGTAGTTTGGCTCAGTAACTCCCTACATTGTGCAACATTTTTCTCCCTCAGCCCCTCACACTTTTATCAGTGGGAGCATGTTCAAAATGGAAGCGCTTCTTTCAATAGCTAAACACATTGGCCCTTTCATTATGCTGCATGGACATTGAGAACTTTACAGGAGCTATAGTGAGAGAACTCAGATCCTCCTACTCTAAAACATATTCCTTTATCAGTTGAGTTAAAGGAGAGCTTGACAGCATAGGACTACTGTCCAGTAGAGAGAAGTGATATATGCACACGCTGAGCTACTTCATTACAATACCTGTCCACCTCATAGGGATGTTGTGAGAATTTGTTAATTACTGTTTGTAAAACAGCTAGACAAACTCCAGGTAAGTGTTATTAGTATAGTTTAATCCTTACTTTTTAAAAGCTATGAAGATCTCCCTTGCTTGTGTCAGCATGTCAGAGATTTGATGTATAGATCATTTAATAGCAAACTCGAAACCTACTCACATATGTGTCTGAATATTTGTGTGCCCATGCATTATGTGTGTGTAAGATCTTAGTCAAAGCAGACAGTTAATAGCCCACAATGTTTGTTTCTCCTTCTGGAAAATCATCCTCCAGTGCATTGCTCATCCTATTAATAAACACCTGGCAAACACAAAACAGTAGTGACAAAGTTATTTAGCCTGACTATGGAATAAGAATAATCATTACTTGCAAGATTCCTGCAAGCTGACTTCATTAAAATTTCATTAATGTCTTTTTTCTGACTCTGCTAAATCTGGTATTTTTAAAAGCATCTCACTCTATTATATTTCCATTAACATTGCCCATCATATAAATAGCTCTGAAATACGCACTAGTACGTCTGTGCTGTTAATGAGAAAAATAATCCAAAAACACAGCTCTGCTGTGCAAACTAAGTAGGCATTAATATGCTTTGTATTCTTCCCAGAAGCATACCGTAAAGATATCAGCAGGATTCCGACCTGTTTTCAAAGTTCTCACTTGTTTGGAAACAAAATAGCACTAAGACACTATTATTGAGCACAATCAGGATTTGGCTGACAAAAAAAATGTACTAAGTGGATGCAGTCAAATGGCTATTTCTCCTCTCTCTCTTCTTTGTTTTCTCATCTTTTTCCCTGTTCCACTGGGAGCTGCCCATTGCAGTACCTTTCATCAGCTGGTAGGACAGGCGTTCATGCGAGTGACTCTCTTTGGAACTTGTTTGGTAGACTTGTCGGCAGAGGTTTCTAAAAGGGCAATGCAGCTAAGACCCTCTGCCCCTAGACATTGATCACATCAACTCTGTGACATGCAATCCTCTGCTTGATGAACAGGCTCCCTCCCAAATCCCAGTATACCCCTCTGAAACTCAGTTTCTCTCTTCGTAATGACAGCTCCATCCTGCAGCGCTGCAGAGTGAATGAAACAGTTTGAATTGTGAAACAGGAGAAATGTCCCCTCAGTGCACATCTTAAAGGGTATACTCCAATTCCTGGTAAAGTTCAAGAAAAAAACTCATTGACATCAATGAAAGTTGAGTCAGGCCTGTTTCTTAAATTTTATTCACTTATTTAATTATGTTGTTGGTTGCCTAAAGAAACCTTATAGGCCTGGTTCTGATCTCAGTCCATTGCAAACCAGAAGTAATTTCATTACTTGAATTATGCCAGTGTAAAACCATGATAAGACTCCACTCAAGCAAACCATGTAGGCATGTACTTAACTTTAAGCATGTGATTACTCACTCTGAAATCAGTGGGGCTTCTCACATGCTTACATCTTGCTCCATCAAGACTAGAACAACATCTGTCTCAGGGTATGTCTACACTACAAAGTTAATTCGAACTAACAGCTGTTAGTTCGAATTAACTTTGTAGTGTAGACATACCCTGAGACAGATGTTGTTCTAGTCTTGATGGAGCAAGATGTAAGCATGTGAGAAGCCCCACTGATTTCAGAGTGAGTAATCACATGCTTAAAGTTAAGTACATGCCTACATGGTTTGCTTGAGTGGAGTCTTATCATGGTTTTACACTGGCATAATTCAAGTAATGAAATTACTTCTGGTTTGCAATGGACTGAGATCAGAACCAGGCCTATAAGGTTTCTTTAGGCAACCAACAACATAATTAAATAAGTGAATAAAATTTAAGAAACAGGCCTGACTCAACTTTCATTGATGTCAATGAGTTTTTTTCTTGAACTTTACCAGGAATTGGAGTATACCCTTTAAGATGTGCACTGAGGGGACATTTCTCCTGTTTCACAATTCAAACTGTTTCATTCACTCTGCAGCGCTGCAGGATGGAGCTGTCATTACGAAGAGAGAAACTGAGTTTCAGAGGGGTATACTGGGATTTGGGAGGGAGCCTGTTCATCAAGCAGAGGATTGCATGTCACAGAGTTGATGTGATCAATGTCTAGGGGCAGAGGGTCTTAGCTGCATTGCCCTTTTAGAAACCTCTGCCGACAGGTCTACCAAACAAGTTCCAAAGAGAGTCACTCGCATGAACGCCTGTCCTACCAGCTGATGAAAGGTACTGCAATGGGCAGCTCCCAGTGGAACAGGGAAAAAGATGAGAAAACAAAGAAGAGAGAGAGGAGAAATAGCCATTTGACTGCATCCACTTAGTACATTTTTTTTGTCAGCCAAATCCTGATTGTGCTCAATAATAGTGTCTTAGTGCTATTTTGTTTCCAAACAAGTGAGAACTTTGAAAACAGGTCGGAATCCTGCTGATATCTTTACGGTATGCTTCTGGGAAGAATACAAAGCATATTAATGCCTACTTAGTTTGCACAGCAGAGCTGTGTTTTTGGATTATTTTTCTCATTAACAGCACAGACGTACTAGTGCGTATTTCAGAGCTATTTATATGATGGGCAATGTTAATGGAAATATAATAGAGTGAGATGCTTTTAAAAATACCAGATTTAGCAGAGTCAGAAAAAAGACATTAATGAAATTTTAATGAAGTCAGCTTGCAGGAATCTTGCAAGTAATGATTATTCTTATTCCATAGTCAGGCTAAATAACTTTGTCACTACTGTTTTGTGTTTGCCAGGTGTTTATTAATAGGATGAGCAATGCACTGGAGGATGATTTTCCAGAAGGAGAAACAAACATTGTGGGCTATTAACTGTCTGCTTTGACTAAGATCTTACACACACATAATGCATGGGCACACAAATATTCAGACACATATGTGAGTAGGTTTCGAGTTTGCTATTAAATGATCTATATATCAAATCTCTGACATGCTGACACAAGCAAGGGAGATCTTCATAGCTTTTAAAAAGTAAGGATTGAACTATACTAATAACACTTACCTGGAGTTTGTCTAGCTGTTTTACAAACAGTAATTAACAAATTCTCACAACATCCCTATGAGGTGGACAGGTATTGTAATGAAGTAGCTCAGCGTGTGCATATATCACTTCTCTCTACTGGACAGTAGTCCTATGCTGTCAAGCTCTCCTTTAACTCAACTGATAAAGGAATATGTTTTAGAGTAGGAGGATCTGAGTTCTCTCACTATAGCTCCTGTAAAGTTCTCAATGTCCATGCAGCATAATGAAAGGGTTTGCTATCATATTATTACCTGTGAGTTATATGGGAGGAAACTGAGGAAGAAAGATTTCACTGAACCAAGGCCAAAGCGGGAATCACTGTCACTGTGTAGGTTTGCAGTTCAGAAGTTCCTGTCTGCCGGTCCTCTGTCAGTTCACACTTCCGTTGGGCCCACTGTACTACCTTTCAAATCTGTAACGCATTGATCAAAAATTGCATCACAATAGTTTATAGTAGCGAAAACAATGGAAATCTTATAAGAGGCAGCTTGAAAAGAGAGAGATTTCTAGTGATTCCTTAACCTGAAGATGCCTAAAGATCTTCCCACACTGGTCCAGTCTTGTAACCCTTTTATACAAACATAATTTCTACTGAAGTCAATAAGGGCCAGGTTTTCTGATCTGCCAATGATACTTGGCACCACTGGAGAAGTCCAGTAAAGAATTCCCGTGTGCAGGAGATCTCTTGGTAGACATAAAGCCACCTGCACCAGCCACCCCATCACCCCTGTATTAGATTAATAGATTAGTAGATTTTAAAGCCAGAAAGGACCAGTATATTCATCCAGTCTGAGCTCCTGGGGGAGAAAAAAAAGGCCATGCAATTTCACCCAGTAATTCTTGCATCAAGCCCCAAACTCCTTGCTGAGCTGGAGCGTATCTTTCAGAAAGACATCCAATCACTCAGAGTTTTGCCAGCGAGACGATGAAGTACTCAGGTGTGGTGTTGCTATGGGGATCTGCTTTCATTATAGGTCATTCTTGCTAGTATACATAAGCGCTGTCAAACTTTAATGTATTAATTTCATGCTCAGTATTTTCCCACATTGTTACTGCTTATTCAGAGAAATGATACAAGTTTAGGTATATTTTGTGTGTGTGTACTTTGGCAGACTAAAGCTCAGACAATATGCTTACATTTTACAGGTTATTGCTTGATTTTTTTTCCATGTTTTGCAGTATGGGATTTCAAAGGGTTAATGTGAAAATTGGAAGAGAGATCTGGCCACATAGAGTTTGTAACGCACATGAAATCAAGTGGACCTCTCTGACATGTGGAAGTCCAGCTAGAGACTGTCATTTTATTTCCCCTCCTCCCCTGATTTATATTGTCATTTGTTTGTTTTTTGTTTTGTTTTTTTGTTTTTTTGTTCTCCAATATACTGTGAAATTTAAAATTAAAATTCCATTCTGAGGGGAAAGGGAAGATACCATAATTTAACCAAGCTGCTGGGGCAGCAGAGAACCCCCCAGCAAAGAGACTGTTTGAATCTGCCCTTTAAACTAGACTATGTTATTCCAAAAGGTGTACAGTATTGTAAGTAACCTCTAGTGCCATTTGCAATATTGCTTCAGGCTTGGTTGCATGCAGCTTAATTTCACCAGCTACTTCTAGCTAAAAGCAAATTGCATATTAGGAAATAACACTGCAGACATGGATCACAAAGAAAATATTTTCCTTGTCAGCTGTAGCCTCATATACAGAAGTTGATTAAAACTATGGGGTCCTGTTGGATGCCTATTTATCAATGCATGCAATAGCAAAAGCTGGTTAAGCATATATCATTGTATTACAATGATTTTCATGCTGTTTCCCTTCATAGTTTTGTTTTTACTAAATCTGATAGGCTTTCATTTTAGCCAAATGATATCATTCTCTTAGGTAATGCAAATGAAATGGATTAATTTAAATCCTCATTACATTGAATTTCCCTAGCTGAGTTCTCTGTGGTTCTTGGACTAGTTTGCTTTGGGTCCCAATTCAGCAAAGCACTCAAATATTTGCTAAAAAGATTTAAAAAAATAGTATGGGCTGAGCATAAAACTTGTGGCCAGGAGAACATGTCAGCAGTTACCTGCATAAAACTTGTGGCCAGGAGAACATGTGTTTCTGTCAGCAGTTACCTATAAGTTTTCAACTCTGATTTTAAGATATTTTCAAGCTGGGGTGTATTTCCCTGATGTAAAGCCAATTACTCTTTCTGCAGCCTTCTCTAAGGCATAGAATATGGGATGATTGGCAATTCTGTGACAATTTTTACCCCAGAATTGAGGGTTTCAACTAATCAAAAAGCCCAGTAATTGTCTTCTCTCCTCAAACATCTTCAGGTCTTCCTGGAGAAGCTGAAAATTTTCATTCACAAACCAAATTATTTTAATTGTTTTCATTAAAAGTCAAAATTTCTCTCACATTAAGCAAATCAGCCAACCATTGTCTGACCTGCTCTATATGCCACCTTGCTGTTTCTGTTCTCCCCTGAAAAAAAAGAAGATAATAATGCTAACTTGGCTATTTCATGGGATTAATTACCATCTTTAACATGCTGGGCAGGAGGAAAAAGTTCTGTGTCAGTGTTATTAAGCACAATGTTTAAAAGACTGTTCTTCATCAAAAGCCTAATGGCTGCACTTTGGCTAATAGGAATCACATAATGAGTCATGGTATCGTTCTGTCCTGTGTAACCTCCGTGAAAATTGCTCTTTAAGAAGGCATGCATTGTTCACTCGGAGAGACCTTAAACAAGGAATTTCATGCTGGAATAAACTTGGGGAAAGTTAAACAAGAGAATTAACTTGAGCATTAATTGTCCCTCTTCCCCTTTCTCTTACTTCAGATAAGTGTTTGAATCAGAATACTTTCATTGCCAGTTTCTCCACCTTGATCCAGCAGTGAATTCATATGTCCGTCATTGTAGAATGGCAGTCTGTTGCCATGTGACTGATCTTGATGTCACAATGTTAGCAGTAAGTTCAATGTAAGGTCAGAGAGGAAAGGGAGAGTTTCTGATTGTAATTAATATATATATATTAATATATATAATCACCAAATAGTGATCTTTAAAGCACTGCCCAGATATAAAATTTGTATCTGCATCAACAAAAATGAGCTGTGGACATCTGCATCCGTATTGGTGGAGGTGGTTACCCATGGATATAAAGTGGATATCTGCTGATTTGCAGGGCTCTAGAGAAATTACATTGGTGGCCTGAGGATCAAGGTCGACTGAAGGACAGGAGGCTGATCTGTAATTTATGAGTACCGTATGTGTCCAGGTTATTGGGATAGTTACTGTTCGGTTATATTGCATCATTGGGATGTTTATTGTATGCACACATTGATTTAGTTAGCAGCAGAGCTGTTAGGAAAGTAGGAAGGCAACACAACAGCTCCACATAAGCAGCCTCCTGGGAAACATGGCGTATGTGGAGAGGATCACATAGTGCCTGGACTATTAACTTGGGAGACTGATATTTCCAGGCTCCAGCCAAAAGTTGCAGGATTTATTTTACCACAGCTGGGAGCCAGATGCTCAAAAGTATACGAGGCAGTGAAAATGTTACTCTGTAGAGAGAAGGGCGAGGCAGTCACTGGGGTGCTGTTTGCAGAGAACAGACTGACAGAGAGAGATACAGACAATCTGTCTATATGTATATGTTGTTCCTTGGTGTTGCAATCTCTTTTGGTAGAACTTAAAAAACAACAAATAGACTAGTAGCACCTTAAAGACTAACACTAAAGGTGCTACTAGTCTAGTTGTTTTTTAAGTTTTTCCTGTTACAGACTAACTTGGCTACTCCTCTGAATCTTTTGGTAAAGTCCATCTTTTTTTGTATGGCACGTAGCAGAGTGATATCATAAGTAAATAAATAAGTACATACATTAATAATAATACTATGATGGATGGTCTGAAGAAGCAACACCTGCCATGCCCAGTTCCTCCGGATGGTTGAGTTTAAGGTAAGATAGACACCAGCGTAAACCTATAGTTGTGTTAAAATTATTTTTTCCATTATGTTATGCTGTGCATTCCTCACCTACAGACAACCCCCTAAACTGAAACAAATTATTTCCAACAACTATGCAACACACCTCAAACATACTCACCCAGGAACTCACCCCCGCAATAAACTTCAGTGCCAACTCTGTCCACACATCTACACAAGCAGCATTGTCACAAGACCTAACATATAAGCCACCACGTCAGACTCATACAACTGCACATTCACTAATGTGATCTGTGCCACCAAGTGCCAGCAATGCCCCTCTGCCATGTATATTGGCCAAACTGGACAATCTTTATGACGAAGGAATCATGGACACAATTCAGATGTTCAAAAGGGTAACACACAGAAACCTGCTGGAGAACATTTTAACTTGCCCGGCACTCATTAGTGGATTTAAAAATGGCTCTCCTCTTACAAAGCAATTTCAGGAATCAACTAGAGAAAGAGAGACTGTGGAACTGACCTTCATATGCGAATTTGAAACATTTAACCAGGGATTGAATAAAGTCATTTATATTCAACACCCAAATGACATCAAAAGCTAAATATTGGGCATTTGCAGCCCATTCTGTTAGCTTCATTTAGCACGGACACTTCAATTGACTTGGGTTTTTTTTTCTTTCCCTCCTCCTCTCCGTTCTTTTTCTGTTATTTATTTATACCTCTGAACCTCTTGCTCCATTCATCTGAAGAAGTGGGTTGTGCCCATGAAAGCTCATGATACCATCTACGTTTTTTGTTAGTCTCTAAGGTGCTACAGGACCATTAATTGTTTTTAAAGATTTTTTTTGGTTTAAGGAGGTTATCTGGCCACTGTATTCACCATTGGTCAGAAGCACCCAAAGGAAAGAACAGCAATACTTAACCAAGTTGAGCTTGCTGAGTAGTCATGGTTGGTACCCAGAACACTCTAACACTGGGCCCAGGCTAAGAGTGGGAGAATTCTGGGATTCCACCTCAGAAGAGATGAAGGCATGAGGCTTGACCCATGGAGGGAATATACCAGAGGCCAGAAGCATTAGTGAACAGAAATAGCAAACAGGAGTTTTGCAACAGAGTTTAGCGATGGAGAATGAAAACCAGATACACCTAATAAATGTTCTCCAGATGTAGGCCTGAGTCTGGACACAGCCTAAGGTGCAGGACCATTCATGATTCACCATTGGTCAGAAGCACCCAAAGGAAAGAACAGCAATACTTAACCAAGTTGAGCTTGCTGAGTAGTCATGGTTGGTACCCAGAACACTCTAACACTGGGCCCAGGCTAAGAGTGGGAGAATTCTGGGATTCCACCTCAGAAGAGATGAAGGCATGAGGCTTGACCCATGGAGGGAATATACCAGAGGCCAGAAGCATTAGTGAACAGAAATAGCAAACAGGAGTTTTGCAACAGAGTTTAGCGATGGAGAATGAAAACCAGATACACCTAATAAATGTTCTCCAGATGTAGGCCTGAGCAGCACACCTGACCATGAGTTCTAAGGGTTGCAGACGAGTACCAGCATGGAGCATGCAGGAGATCCTTCAATGCTGTGTGGGGAGAGAAATTTGTTCTTAGAAAACTATGAACGAGCAAAAGGCATGCAGATATCTATATCGCAAAGCACATGGAGGAGAAAGGATGCACCAGGGATGCCCAGCAGCGCCATGTGAAATAAAGGAGCTGAGGCAGTTGTGCCAGAAGACAAAGGAGGCAAATGGATGCTCTGGATCCTCGCCACAAACATGCCACTTCTATGAGCAGCTGCATGCAATCATTGCTGGGGAATCCGACCAACTTCCCTAGCCAGTCTGTGGATTCCTCCCAAGACACTCCTCTGGCAGCCTCAACCAGCAGTGTGGAGGATCGCATGGATGAGTAAGAGGAGGAGGAAGTGGTCAGCAGGCAAGTAAGGCAACCGATGTCATCAACAGACCAGACCTTTTATAACTTTGGTGACAACGCCATCCTCTTAGGATGTCTCACAGACGTGCACTGATACCGGGGAGGGAACTTGGGGTGAGCTCACATTTTTTATCATGCTACAAGTTGGTTAAGAGATTTGGGTGTGATCTATGGTGGCCACTGGGCCTACACAGTGTGTGTGGGGGGGTGTCCACAAAACAGTTTATTATCGTGTCTGGAAACAATGTAGGAATCCTCCCAGCACATCATAAAGGAACTCTTTAATCTTTCTCACAAGGTTCCTGGGGAGCTGTGCCTTCTTCCATCCTCCACGGTAGGATACCTTTCCACTCCAAGCCAGCCGTAAGTGGTCTGGATTCATTGCAGCACAGAGCATTGCAGCATAAAGTCCAGGTCTGGCCACAATCAGTCAGTATCTGCTCCCTATCTCTGTGTGTGATCTGGAGAAGACTGAAACCTATATGGAGCAGGGGAAGCTATTAGCAAACCTGTTTGCTCATCTCCAAGAAAGCATGGGTTGAGCCCCTGCCCTGCCACACTTGAAACCCCTCCTCCCTTGCGCCCGCCTGCTTCTGTGGGAAGGGAACGTTGCACTCTCCGGGCAAATGGGAGGTTTCTCAACTCCCGGGCGCTGCGTGAGCACCTGCTTTGCCCGGCTGCCACTCACAGACTCCTCCCCACCCCACACATGCTCCTGTGGGAAGAGAAAGTTGTACTCTCCTAGAAAATCAGGAGGTGCTAAACACATGGTGACTGTGTGAGCCCCCGTCCTGTTGCCATTCCCTGGTTCCCTCCCACCAGCAGGCTTGAGCACTGGCTTTTCATTACCATGCCTGCCACCAAACCAGGTTCAGCTGCTTCCCTAAGAACTCTGCTGCATAGTGGCTGCTTAAAAGCATAACGGTGGCCTTGTCCATAACACATCTCTATTGTTTCTAGACAGACTTTCCTTTTTGGCTAACAGATTAGGTTTTATGCTCTACAATGTATCCCCTGTAAAGACTGCCCTTCACTTTTCATTACAGTGGGAACAGCAGTGAGACTACTGTACACGTCCCTGGCTCTGCCAGCTCCCCAGTAGCACAAATCTGCAGGTGAAAATGGACAAGGAGCAAATGCAATCTGCCCACTTGGACAAGGAATGCTTAAGCAAGTGGAGGAATACACTGCTGCTGGAGATATGAACAGAGTGTGAGGAAAGCGTGCAGGGAACTGCAATTGAAGAACCAGGAGAGAGTCTTGAACACCATGGTAGATGTGATGAATCACCTGGTGGCCTTTCAGGCTAGCTACGTGCACAGGCCACCCCCTCCAGCCCTTGTGGAACCACATTCCCTCCTCACCAAGTTCCACTGCTTCCTCTTCTAGGGGCCTGAGAATGTGTATGTGGAGGGGGAGGGGAATCAAGGGCAGCTTCACACTCAACCTCCAGGGACTGCAGCATAAAGCAAAAGGCTGTTCTTCTCACAATTGTGATCACCCTCCCAATCAAGGTCCCTTCTACAGTGCGTGGCAGCAAATTGTGATCACCCTCCCAATCAAGGTCCCTTCTACAGTGCACAGCAGCACCAGCATGGCCCCTCCCAGGGGCTCAGGGCTGCTGTGCACGGATCTGTCTGGCTGAGGGAGTGGCTCTTCTCCCTCATCTACAGCAGCAGCTCCCAGATGAGGACAGAACCGCTAGTCTCTCCCAGTGTTGATAAATGCACAATAATTCACCCTGGAAACCATAATCCCAATGATACATACAAAGTGATAGGATCTAAATTAGCTGTGAGCACTCAAGAAATGGTCCAAAAAACTAATAGAATATTAGCAATCATTCTGAAAGGGAAAGACAATAAGAGAGAAAATATCATAATACCACTGTATAAATCCATGCTATGTCCACGCCCTGAATAATGCATGCAGTTCTGGTCACCCCATCTCAAAACAGATATATTAGAATTGGAAAAAGTACAAAGAAAGACAACAAAAATTTAGGGAATGGAATAG